TTTGTTCTACGTGATAGGACCAGTTAAGGTCAGCAGACACGAAACATCCAAGATATCTGAAGTGTTTTTCCTTTCAACTTTTAAGTTAAGGGTCAATATATTAGGATCAGTTGATGGCCTACGATCAATGGAAAAAAAACTTCAATGCATTTATTGGGGTTTAAAGAAAGGTTAACACCATCGGACCATTCAGAAATGGAATTTATGGCTGATTGAAGGGGGTTATTTGAAGGGTTGTTGTTGTGGGATGCACTACCAGTTACTATGTCATCGGCATATTTAAAAGTGAAAACATTTGGGGTGACTGGCAAGTTTTGGATATAAAAGGAGGACAGAAAAGGGGATAAATTGCACCCTGCATTACACCCTGGTTTACAGTAACAGTAGAAAACTTAATACTATTGAGACTAGCGTATGGGCGTCGGTCGGTAAAATAGTCGTGCATCCAATTCAAAAGATGTGGCGGGAAATTATGTTGCCCTAACGGTGACAATCGGATGTTTCTGTCGACAGAGTTAAACGCGTCTGTGCAGTCCATGAAACAAACGTGAACAATTTTGTGTTTTTGGTCTATAGTGGATAAAACCTGAATGTATAAGACAAGCAACCGCATTTAAAGTAGAGCGAGGCTTACAATTGACAGGATTTAACTCCTTTAAAACTTGCTCTGTTGTGACAGACACAGAAAGGTGGAAATCAAGTGACGTTGTGTTTGAACTCGGTAAGGCTTGCACAACGTTTTTCACTGAAGCAAAAGCTTTGTTGGGCTCACTGATATCACATGAGACTGTAGTGGGTAAAGTTGAACGACCACAGAGCAACTTCAGTCCGTTCCAAAGTTGACGGCAGGATTTGTCACCTAGCACGGTGTCACCATACAATTGACTGAGACGGGCTATCTCGCTTCTGATGTGACAGATTTGACTGTCAGTTTATCTCTTGAGCGATACGCTCTTTCTTTCAGCCTTTGTAACCATTTCAGTCCATCGGAGATGAAGTGGTTCGGCTTTAGATGAATCCTTTCTTGATGGCAACACATATCGTAACAATAGTTGAGAAGACTGAAATATCAGGATCGAAGAGTTGTTGTAAGTCCGTTCCACCAACCATGGATTTTAATTCCATCAAATTGGTCAGGTGATTTCGTCTTAAACGTATCTTACGTGCATCGTTCTTCATCAGGATTTGTTGCTCACATTTACCATATATTGTAGGTAAAAATATAATCAGACAGTGATCGGAATTGCCTACTGGTGCACATTTGAAGGCACGGAAAAAAGATGGTTCGTTGACGAAAAAGTGGTCTAAGGAGGCATCGTTTCGAGTGGAAAAAGTAACACTGCTCATAATTAACACTGGACATAAGTGTGTAAAAACTCAAATTAGATCTGTTGAAATCGCCAGCAACGATGAATACAGATGTGACAGATTTCTCCAATATGATAGAATCCAGGAAGGTAGACAACTCATTAAGAGTACAATCAGGAGTGATGTATAGGTTTCAGAAGATGATCGAAGAGTGACGCAAGCGAAAACGTGGTTTACATTCCACAGAAATACAAGAAATGTTTTGTGTGCAGTGAGTGAATATGCATT